TCCTTTCTTTTTTTTCTTTTTTATTATTGGCTAAAGATATATTCTATAATGTCTTAATTTATTTATGTAAGTGCTTCTGCTCCTGTTAAAAATTTTGGATTTGTCAAACTTATTTAAGAAGTATACTTTACTAGATATTTTAACAGTTTAAAACCTACTACAACGTATTTGAAGGTAGTTTAAAATATTTCAACGTATTTTAACGAAGTTTATGATAACATAACACAACCGACCTCAGTTATATATTTAGAACAATCTTCGCCCACGTAATAACCCTTTTTTATGTATACTTATATGCACCACAGGAGTTAAGTTAAGCTACTATGGGTTTTCTCAGCGAATCAAATTCAGCTTTGGCTGATGAATGCTCAACTAGGAATAACAGGAGGAACGAAAAACGTTCTCCCGCCCCTGAAGCCGAGCACGGGATCTCAAATGGCCTTAACTTCCAAAGATCCTTTTTTCGCTCCTGCTCAGTTTCAATTATCGTTGTCGCCACATATATGTTTCTACTAGGAAGTTATATGGAGTAGAGATTTCTTGAAAGACTAATACGAAGCCTCTCGAAATTTCTTATTTTGTTCTTAACCTAGATCAAGTGTAGCTTTTGTGGGGATGTTTATATGGAACAGCCAGTCTATACATATCAACTATAAGTAATATAAATATGACTAATGTGTACACCCCCAGTCGTTCCAGAATATCCTAAGAAACTTGTAAGACAAGGTAATCGACATGGAAAAGAGAATAGTGCAACCGGGACAGCACAAACACTTCTCGGAGTAGATTGAAGGTGGATGTCTGAGAGGAAAAAGCTCAGATAAGAATGTAAATTCCACCCCTTCTGAATCTGAAAATGGCGTGTGATCTGGGTTTGATCAAATGGAATTATGTAACTAATTTATGGGCCCGGTCCTGAACTTAGCTTAAACAAGACCGAAGGGCAAATTCTATGAGATTAAAGAAACCTCCCATTTCTGCCTAGGGCGTGCAAAGGCATAATAGGGCAAAAAGGAACAACAAGTTGCGGATCTCTGTTTCTAGATATTCAGAAATCGAGTGTCAGATAACAAACTACTAATGTGACACTATGAACCTCGTGTATTCTACTATACTTATCACTATATAATCCCTCCGAGCGCGTCACTCCTTGACAATTCATTGTATCAGGAAATTTTAATCCCCCAGCAACTGTTCATTTTGTGTCTTCTTTAATGATACATTAATTAAGGCACTAAATAAATATTTATCTATTAATGACAGATATCTAAGCCGTATATGTTTTTTTCATTCGTGTGCAGGGCAACCGAGATCACATATATAAGGGCCTAGTGTATTTTTCTCTGAAAAAATTATTCCTCTTGCGCCTCTGGATTTATTAGGTGAACGACATCTAATATTATGATGTGAATAAAAGTTTCTTGATGTCAGGCGAATACACTTTATACTATGTGAAAGAATTAATGGATAAATTCAATAACTGACAGATATAACAAGGAGAACTATATCTGACTATCCAAAAGCTAAGGAAGGGGAAAGTTCGGCATACAGAAATCTGATAAAAACCTCATAAAACACGAGAATAGAAAGAATGAATAACCCTCAAACGGGCAGCCTTAGGAGAACTGGGCGTTCCGTATATATATAAATAGGTATAATATCTATACAAGCATCAAGCCAAGATAAATAAAACCAAACAAAGTGCATTATTCATTTATCAAACCAAAGGATATGTTTTTACCCTCTTTAGTCAAAGGGATGTCTAAGCTTCCTGTATTTATAGGATAGTCTTGATGACTATTCCTTTTCACATTATATATATTTTATCAGCTAAAAGGAATTGATATGAAGGAATAAGTTGAATTTTATAGACAAAAGAAACTCCCACTCCAAACAACAACGGAGCCAGTCAAACCCTAAACGAAAAAGATGTACTATTATATTTGTAAATACTATTTCATTCAAAGTGACCCTGTCTTAATAACTGAGGGATATTCTCAAAAGAGTAATGTTTAACATCACAGAAACTAGAATTCCAAGACAAACCCAATCCATCATACAGAAACTGTCTAATAGCGTTCTGTAAATAATGCAACCCCCCAAAAGCAGCACGGATAAATATAGTTGTCTTCCTCTAATGCAACGAGTCTTCCATGATTATTTCAGGAAATACCATTGAGGAATTTTAATTAGCTTCTATTGTCCTTTTCCTTGGTCTTGTTTTTTTCAAATATTACAAATATTATATGGCTTATTGGAAATCTATAGCTATAAGCTGAATAAAAAATCACTAAGTCATTTTTAATTCAGCCAAATATGCATAGATATGTAAATTTACCGTCTTCAACCCTTGCTCTATTGGTAGTTATTCTTTAGTAACAGAGCAGATCCAACAGTCATATGGACATCTTCATTTTGGCAACTGAGATCCGTTATAAAGAATATCTAAACAATAATCCATAAAAATTAAACCCAGACAAATGAACAAATAGTCATGATCCATCCCCCTTGAACAAATTTAAAGGGCCCACTGACAACTGAAGAGGAAAGATTTAAAAAGCCACAAATTGCCCCCCCCAACGCGAATGAAGGAACCTCCACCTGAAAGCTAGGTAATAAAGAAAAAAACCTAAAGGTTAAAAGCAGGAAGGACCTACCAAAAATACTAAGAATAAAGCAAGAAAATAGAGGGAGACACATCACCCAACAAGTAGGCCCCAATGAGCCCACAGACAAACATCCAGATATGAATCGTAACCCCAAGCATCTAATAACTAATGCTAGAAACCTGACAACTAAGAACCCGTCCATATTAAGGAAACCGTAGAGCAAAAATCCGCTACGGATCATCCTGACGGATAAGCCATAGAGCAAGAACGAAAAATGAAGGGAACCCCGTTATGCAGCTAATACCCCAAGGAAGACGTATCAAGGTACCCCTGAGAATCAACCCCAGAAGTGAACACAGAAGGTGCAACAGGAGGGTGGGACTAAAGAATAAAAGATACAATTTATCAGAACGAGTAATACACCAAGCAGCAAGAACCAGGAGGGGAGCCCAACAAATCCTAAGGACAACCGATTAAACAGAGAAGGAAATCCGCGAAAGCCACAATTCTCCCCCTAAAAGCTGAAAAGGAGCCAAAAAATATGAACCATAAAAAGATAACCATAAGCCTGAAACCTAAAAGCGAAAAACTCGAACCTAGAGGATGAGTCTTAAAGCAGAAAACCTGACTTCTAAACCCTAGACCATGAGCCCTGAGCACTGAACCCTAAAGCCTGAAACCTAAAACCTAAACATAACCCCTGAAACCTAAACATAAACCCTAAAACCGCAACCATAACCCCAAAACCGTAAACCGGAACCCTAATCCCTGAAACCTGGAACCTAAACCCTAGATCCTAACCCTAAACCCGAACCATAAAGACTGAAACCCTAACCCCGGAAGCCTATAGAATGAAAGACTGGAACCCGAACCCCTGAAACCTGACCCCTCACCCCTGAATCCCCAGAGCCTGAAACCTAAACCTTAAACAACAAACCTAAACACTAAACCCTAAACCCTAAAGCATAAACCCCTAAGCCATGAGCCCTGAACTTTAAACGCCAAACCATAAAGCTAAACCCAGAGACTAGAACCATAATCACTAATCCCTAAACCTCACCCATCAACCCAAGACCCTGAAACCTGAACCCTAACGCCCCAACCGGAAACCTCCACTCCCAGCTCTGCATATCAACCCATGACCCCTAGATCCTGAACCCTCAACTCCGAAACAATACTCCCAACTCACCTCGACAGTCCAGAATCCAGACGCAGTGCCCGAAAGTAGAACTCTCATACTTAACCCCAAAGAGACGACACCTAATCAATAAGCTTCATCTACCCCAAAAATCTGGGGGATCGTGGAGACGACTAAGGAGATAGGGAATTCTGTTGCCTCGTCTGAATCTTATCCTAAGAGCGTGGAAGTTGTCCGTTTAACCCCACTCGCCTCCCCAAGGAGAAGTGAAGCACAACGGCCTCTTCGCACAATCAGGTGCTCACCTGAGTGTTGGAAGAAAACGCCCTGGATACTCACTTAAGATTCATACCATCAACTTACCCCCTGCTAAGTTCTGTGTTCCGGACTCATTTCTTCCTGACGATCACTGTGAAACCACAGAATCCAAGTCACCATCACCGCTTCTGCTCCGCTTGGCTTTTTGATGCGCCAACGACCCCACCCCCTTCTACTCCCCTGCCGCTCCTCTCCATTTGTCAGGTTATCTTCTTTTGATGACTCGTCCTTCTGGTTTGGTGGTATATCTGTCCCAGTCACTGACTATCCATCTCGTTCAGTTGACATCTCTTCTGATTTAGCCATTTGTTCAGGTGGTTATTGCCTTGTCTCTTCAGTTAGGAGCTTTGGTACATTACCCTTATTGGATCGTCTAGCCAAGAGTTCGGTCTCCTGTTTCTTCTCAGGCCTGGCCAATAGATCTTGTACATCCCATAAACCGCTGCTGCGCCTGAAATGACAGACGCTACCACCCCTAATTCCATACCAATACTGGAACTTGTCTGGGTCTTGTCGGTTCCTGAGTCGGGATAGCCCTGGGGGGGTCGAACTCCTGCCTCCTCTTTCAGATTTTGTAGACCCTCACTTAACCCTGCAGAAACCTCCGGGTTCCTTTCTACTGGGCTCGTTCCCTTGTCCTCGGCTGTCGTCTGGTTCCCTTTCGGCTCAGTCGAAGCTCTTTGGGCTACCTGATTCTTTTTGGAGGAATCATCTGTGGTGTCCTGAGGATGTAAAGTTCGTGCCCCACTGTCGATAGCTCTGTCAGACTGGTGTTCGACAGATTGAATCCTCTGCGCTGTTGCCTCTGCGTTTATCGATTTGTGGGGGGGTATCACCGGCGCGTCGGCTGATGGTTGCTTGTTACTTATCTGAATAGTTGGGGTATCGATTGACTGCCATGACCCGCTGGGGTTTTCCTGTCCGGGGGCTCTGGCGGGGGGACGTCCTGCTACGCCATTTGCGACCTTTCGGGACTTGAGGTTCGGGGGTTCCGCTGCCTTTACTTTGACTTGTTTTGTTTTATCTTTCCTGGTGACGGGTTCAAGTTGTGTTTCACCTTGATTATAAAGCGTGAACGTTGCCTCCCCCGGTTTCACCTCTCCTGCTCCACATCTCACTTCTCCATTATGTATAAAACACGGTGGAAGCTGCTGCAGCCCCTCCCTGTTCCCCGCTAAGTACCTTCCCAGTGTCCACCCTGGTGTCCATTTTGTACACTTTGTTACTCCCCAGACAACTGCTAAAAGGAAGCCTAGACTACTGTTTGCTACTCTGTCTTCTGTTCCTGGCTCCTTTATCCTCCTCAGAAAGGTTTCCAAACCAACTCCCGTCCCTTCTGCGGGTAGCTGCGGATCCGTCTCCAACTCAATCATGACATCCTCGTATACGCGTTTGCAGTCCTGCCTCACCCGGTCAGGAGGGTGTTGTGTTATTCCTGTGGGTCTCAGCAGTCCATACATAACACAGACTATACCTGATAATAAGCTCTGACCTGGCGCGACGTTTGCCCAGCTCGTCCCTACATCGTTTTTCGTCATGTAGTTCCAATACGCTTGTTCCCATATCTTCGTCTTCCCTTGTGGGGTTATTAGGGTTACCTTTGGCAAGCTGACTGCTCGCTCCACTACACAATCAAGAATTGCCTTCCAATCCTGATCTTCCTGCACTAGGGTATTGTTGGTTTCGAATGCCTCGCGCGATTTACTTGCGTATTGCCATAGGGTTGATAAGTTGTCCTTCTGCTGTGTAGAGCTCCACCTTCCGTAAAAACCCTTCTGGGCTGTTGTTGTTCCAGTCAGTTCCTTATAACAATACCTATCTGTCCCTGGACTACATCTACTTCCTGCATCTGCGTAGATTCGATTTCTATAGTTCTCCCCTGGATCAGATAACTTCACCTGCTTCATTTCACTCATATTCGTCCTATCCGTGCGTAGTCACTTTCTGGGCGATGGTTTGGAAGGGGTATTGTTGCCTGGATCCTCCCTGGGATTCTTCTCTGTTAGACTCCTGTCGCTTGATACTTTTTATTTTCCTTTGGTTGTTGGACGTTTACGGTCCTTGAATCTCTCGAATCCACGATGACGCTGAGGGTCTTCTGAGTCCTCGGCTCCCTTGGTGTTCGGGTGGTGCCAGTTCCTGAGACTACCTCATTGGCGATATTCTCCCCTCGTTTTTCGTCCTCTGACGTGATCTTGTTGATGGTACCCCTCTTATCCCTCTGTGCATATCCTGCTCGTCCTGAATGTCCAGCTCGGCCTAGTCCCGCCGTCGCGGCTGTTCACCATCCTTATCCCTCCGGTCACGTCCCTATCTGTTCCCCTATGGCTCTTGACCTTTCCTGCTCTCCTGTTTCCTTTTACCTTGCTTCCTCCCTTGAATCCTCCACTTTCTCATTATTCTCGAAGTATCCTCACCTGGCATCTCCGTTGTCTCCCTCCCCTTTGGGGTCCTATTTGGCCTCTTTCGTTCTACACCATTGCGGGAAGCCTGAACTTCTTTGTCCTTGCCTCGGCTATTTCATCCCTGTCTTCTTTGGTCACTTGAGAGGCTCCTGCTGCTGGTAAGTTCGCCCCTTTCCACTTCGTCACTTCGGTCCCCTAATGCTTCACTCCTACATGTCCATATGCTTCTAGTCCTTCTTCCCCCGAGCTCCGAAGCTTCGGTTGTATTGGCCCTCATCTCCCCCCTCTTGGAAGCTTCCCTCCGTTTCTGTTTCTGTAAAAAGAGATACTCCCTGCATGTTGCTTTCTTCTCTTCCCCTCCTGAGGTGGGTGTTTTGGCCCTGTACAACCCTCTCATCTTTCTCCTTCCATATGGCCTGCAGTGCACCTCCTGGCTTTTTGTTTTGAGCTTTTATGAGGGGGCTTACGACTACGCTCCCGCCCCTTAAAAGTTTTTTGGGCTTTTTGGGGTATTCCTTTCAGGTGCCCGGCCTGACCCGCTCGACCTGTAGAGTCTCAGTAGTTGAGATGTCTCTTCCGCTGGTTTTCTGATTCCCTTCACCCGGGTCCTTTGCCCGCGTCCTTGATCTGTGGTCCTTCAGTGTTTGGCTCCACCACCTATACAAATTCTCCCCCTTCGTCCTTGTCTCGGGAGGCTCTTCGACGTCCCCTCATCTTCCTGCGATGAGAGCTTCCACTTCATGGTTTCGCCTTTTGTTGGCTCCGGTGCCTCCAGAGTTGGGCTGGGAACTATATTCTTGCTCCTGCTCGTCTGAGTCGTCGGCTGTTGTTGTTCTAGCTCCTATGCTATCTGACGCTAGGCGCGTCTTTTACGGCGGGATTTTGCCTGGTTGACGCTATCCAGCCTTTTCTCTCGTTATCAGATCTAAACTTATCCCTTCCTGGCCATCTGCCCTTGAGAGCTTGTGCCGATCTCTTATCTGGGCTATTCCTTCACCCGGCATGACGCTCGCTCTTAGAATTCTTGTCCCTTGTCCGCCGGTGGGATGCTAGATAGTCTCCGTCGCTAGGCTCCGCTCTTATTGATGCCCTTCCTGGGTCTCATTGTTATGACTGGGTTTCAAGTTCGTGTGTTGTGGAGTGACAGGTGCTGAGGGGGAGTGGGGGAGTCTCTCCCATTGGTGCATCGTTTTCCGGTTCAGAGTTGCACTGCAGGAATCGACTCTTACCTTCGCGTGACTGTCTTTATGTCCCCCCGTGTCTTACTCCCCTCTAAACTGGCAGCTGGTACTGATGCTCAGTTTCTTAAGCTCACTTAAGATTTTATTTTTGACAGTTTCTACTCTCTGCAACGCTCCCCCCGCGTTGTACACCTGTCCTTGTTTTCACCCGGGGGGATTCTCCTTTTTGGTTGACTTATTATTCTTGCCTTGTTTGTATTATTTCTTTTCCTAGGATTTCGGATCATCCTGCTCTCTCCTAACCTCTCTTCTTCTGCTCCTCCTCCTGGGGGGGGGAAGAGATTACTTCATCCCACTCCGGTGAGGGATGAAGCTCTGTTGTGGTTTGCCCTGTTGGTTTCTTAGACCTCTGCCTGGCTTGCTGTCAATCCTTTAACTGCCCCCCCTGCACTAATGTACTCCGTACTTGGGGGCTCCTTAACTGAGGTTTGCCCTTCTCCTGTTCCCTGATTTTTTCGAACCCTTGCGCCCGACTTGTCCGATTGGCTCCTTCTCAGTACCTTGACTCTTTTCCGGAAATTTGGCTGCCCCGTTCATTCTCTGTACTCTATAACAGGGCGCCAATCTGCTCCCTTTTAACTCTTCAATTAGTCCTTCCTGATTGTATTTCTTTTGGTCCCTCCTTTGGGTCCAGAGTCTCCTCCCTGTTGGTATCTCGAATTCTACTTCTCCTGAGGTGTTCGTTCTTGTCATTGGATGGAGGATTTGTTGTGTCGTTTCCTCGCACCATAGCGCCCCGGCTCTCTTTGAGGTACTCATTCACTCCACCACTTCTTGTGGCTCGGATTTCTTGTTTGGACGGAGGTTTGATGATGTTCGTTCGGTGAGTGTCGCTCTGTCTGTTGTGTTCCTGTTAGAGTCTTGTCTGCTTTTCATCTTGAGGTTGTGGCTCTTCGAGGTGGGATTTCTCGTCCCCTTGTGAGGTCCCTTATCTTGTTTGGAATATCCTTCATCTGATGATCTTTTTGTGATTTGCCTGGGCGTGAGGGTCTTTTTGAGTGATCGTTTTTATTCCCCCCGTTGGATTCGTGTGTTTATTGGTGCTCTTTCTTCTTCCTTGTCTGGGATGTCGAGGGAGTGGCTTTTTCCAGCTACGATGTCCTATCCTTACCCTGTCGATGACAGTTTGCTTTTGGGGAGTTAGAAGTCCGGTTCTAGACCAAACCATAAATTTCTCCTTCTGGTTTTGAAGGTAGGTTTCCTTTGTTGAGTGGTGTTCCTTCTTAGTTTTGTTGGGGAGGACTGTGTTGTTATTTGTTTCTCCTTGATATACCTTTGTTCCTCTTCCCATACTCTCTCGGTGTCATCCGTTCAGCCGAATCTACTTAGGCTGTGGAAGGGATTTAATCTGTTGTTTTGGGATTTAGTTCCCTTGAGTAGAATCTGTCTCTTCATAGCGAGGTGGCGACTGCTCCTGGATTTTAGACTCTTTGATTGTAGTCTAGTAAAATTGGCGGTGAGTCTGGTGGGAGACTGACTGCTTCTTTTTATTTGTTGTACTGACGCAGTCATTATTGAATCTCATGTTGTGGTGGAGTCGTCTTCGGGGGTCAATTGTCCGCTCGTTGATTTTGGTCTGAAACTTCGTCAACCATCATGGCTTAACTCGTCCATTTGGGTATCTCATGTACAGGCCGGAGATATCTCTCTTCGTCGGTTGAGGGGGTCAAGCTTCTTTGGTGTTAGATGAAGTTTGGATTTTTCCCCGATTAGATGAGATCCCTCTTCTTCGTTTTCATCTACGACTCAGAGATTTGTTAGGTTTTTTCTTTTGAGTCTTTTGTCTTATTGAGACTCGGTTTCTTTATTTGGGATTGCAGGTCTGAGTTGGAATTATCTGTTCATTCGTCTTGCTTAGATTAAACACCACTACTCTTCTTCCTTTGATGTTTACTACTGTTCTGGGAGGTTGTCAGTCCTGCGTTTGTATCATTTCTGCTGCTGTCAATTGCACTAGAGATATTCTTTCCGTCTTTGTTCTCTCTGCTTCGTTTGCGTGTGTTGGCCCTTGATGCCAGTCTATTTTAGTTGCCGGCTGTTAGTTGGTTGGGTTGCCTATTAGCTGAGGCGTTTCTTAACTTCTAATTCTTCATCTGTCTGTTTCTCTTGGTAGCAGATACCTGTGCTCTTAAGGGAAATTCTCTGTTGGTTTCAGACCCTGATTGCCGCCTCGCTCCTGCTGCGGGATGAGTCCCGGCTTCAACTTCTCAGTTGGTTGTTCTTTAGTCTCCCTTTCCTTTATACATTGCTTTTATTGGTCTGCGAGTTTGTTTGTTTTAATCTTTTTTGTTAGATGATGGTTCTTGTTGATGGGGAAATTCCTTGACCTTGTATGGATCCTGCGGGCTGTTGCCTGATGTTTCAACTTCGACTCCCTCTGAGATGGGGATTCTTTGCTATGTCCTCTTCCTTTTGGAAGGCCTGTATACAAGAGACTTCTGGCTCATTTTTTTTTACTGTACCATTGGGCTATGGTGTTGGATTAGACAGATATTTATTCGTTGGTTTTCGGATTACAATTGTCTTTCTTGTTAGGGGTTCAGGTTTTCGGGGGAGTTTCGGAGGTTCGGAATTCTCTTGAAAATTAGAAGTACCTAGAGTTTGGAGATTTTCTGTCACTATTATATAATGACGTTATAAGTATCTTTTCTTCTGTGTTGTTCCTAAGTCGTGTCTGAGGTTGGTTGTTGCTTCGGGGATTTCTGTCTTATTTTTACTTCCCCTTCTCATTTTTGTTTGATACGTTAATTACACATATTAAAATTCTTAATTTGCTGGTTTCTGATTGCAATCTAGAAATTGTCCTGAAATGATGGCCCGGATATCATTTTCTTGGTGATTGCTTGCTTAGCCTCCCTAGGTCTTGGGATTTTCCTAGGGGTCGCTACTTTCTTGTGCTGGGATCTGGGGGTTCATGGAGTCGTTTGGGGGAATTTCAGTTTTCCTCGATAGACCTTTGGGGTATCGTATTGACTTGAGGTGTAGTCATTATTGCTATTTAAATGTTTCTTCGGTTTCCTTGGTTAACTTCTTTATGACTCTTTCCCTTTTAAGGAAGAGCCCTATTTCTTCGTCGTAGAGACTAATAGTTGTTTGTGATTGTTTAGATGTTTATCTTCTTCTGGGGTGTATTAGGCTGATTGGAGCCGCGTCTGGGGGATTTTTGGTTGGCTGCTTGGATTTCTTCCGGGTGTAAGAAAGTACTGAGCTGTTCCTTGACTGAAGTCAGTATTCTTTACCCGAGGTTAATTAACTACATTCTTCTTGTGAGGGAGATCTTGATGTTTGAGTGAGCTTTATTTTACGCAGAGAATTTATCCTTTGGAGACCCTAGGCGGTCTCTTCTTCCTGTTTGTTCTTGTTAGGGTGACTTCCACGTGTTTGAAATAGCTATAGGGGAGTTAAACAATGTTTTTAGGTGGAGTGGTATTTTGGTTTTTTGGGGGTGTCCTGATGATTAGGGTTTCCTATTCTTATATATTACTGTTGAGCCAGGGGGGATTGAGTTTTGATCAGGACAATCTACTTGGGAGAGATCCGATGAGAATTTTTACGGCGGTTTAGATGTATTGTGGATTTGATATTCTTTATCTTTAGTATGCTGTACCGTGTCTGGGATTATTAAATGTGGCGAAGGACATGATATTCAGCTTAGACTGATTTTTTTGAGGGTAAGGCTTATTTGAGGTTGCTTATTTTGACTTGTTGTTAGTTTACTCTTATTTGTTCCTTGGGTATCTTAGGTCAGATTATTCATTAAATGAGTCACTTGAACCGGTGTGAGGAGTACCTGGGGTGCCAGGAGTAGCTACTTATGTCTGTGTTACTGTGAAAGTTAAGGAAACTGAATCGTTGCACTTATAATATTTACAACGCCATTGATACTTCTCTTGTTGTTAGACCACTTAAGTGCTGAGAGGGAGATTGAGATATTAACTTCTGGTGGTATTTTGGACGTCCTTGTCTTGTGATTTTTCCTTCGGAAGTGCTTGACTGGAGATCATATTTGGCTCGCTTTTGATGAGTAGAGTATTTGGTTTATATTCCCTGAGATGGGACTAATTATTCCTCTTATTACTATTTAATTAGTCCTTGAACTCCTTATCGTCTGTAAGATATCATTGTGGTATCATTTCTGGTTGTAGAAATGTAGTATTCAGTGGAAGGATCCTTTCTCCGGTTTTTGGGGATTTAACTATTAGTTGAAAGAGAGGAATAATTCTACAATTCGAAGAACTTTTCGTTTGTGTTATTTTTATGAACTTGTGTTCTATTTTTTTTATAGGAGTCTGTGTTGCTGAATCAAGGTTATGAATTAGGGGGGCTTTCAGTTAATAGTTTCTTCTGTTTGATTTGTAGTGTTAGCAGGACGGAGGATGAGTTATCTTTGAGATGGATTTGGGAATGATGATGATTTTTATACTTTTAAAAAGGAAATAAATAAAATCTATACATCCGAAAAATTCTTAGATTCCTTTTTGTGCCTATTTTTTAGATACGTTTATTCCTAATGAGGTGAGATATTTGTTAGGACTAGGAATTTTTCGATATAGAGGAATATTCTTATCAGACTTCTTATACTTTTGAGAGATTAGTTCTGGGATAGACTGATGGAAGATTTAGGATTTGCCTGGAGGTTGATTTCTGCTTAAAGTAATTTGGATAATGTGGTTCTCGTCATATGTCCCACAGGGGGGGGTTAGGAAGTAAAGCAGTGTTAATGTGTATTCTGGTAGATAGAGGGGGTAGGGGATTTTATAGTACTTTTACCTAGGGATTGATATTTTTTGGGCGTTTCTTCGGAATATGTTTTACAGGTGATTCCTTTGAATAAAACTCCTGACGATTCATAATGGAGACTATAGAATTTTCTCAGGAATTCTCCTAAGAATTGGCGCGAATACAAAGGCGTCATTAACTCACTTATAATCTTTATGGGTTGAATTTTCCCAGGTGATGAGTATATCCATATTTCATGGTTTAAGAATAATTTTATTTCGTTGATATGGAATAATACATTTGGGTTCAAATTCGATTTGTCGATTCTGAACAAATTCTGTAGTGGGATTTTGTTCCTTTTGGTTGAAAATCTTATATTTAAATTATGATTGTTTGGATCTCTGATTAAATTTAGTGAAATACGAATTTCATTTGTCAATAATTTTTTAAAAAGACATATTTTTAGCTCACATTCAAATTTCGGCGCTTGTCCTGAATTTAGTCTCACGTGGGAAGATGTACTTGTTCGCTTTGGTATTGGTTCATTGGGGGACTTATGTCTTATGGGGAGTTGTGCGTTCTCCATATCTCGTTCAACATGATGCTGGGGTCCTGTTTTCCTTTTCCTCCTATATGCTTCATTCTGTTTAGGAATTTCCTTTAATTTTTCTTTTTTTCATTCTGAGTCGAACCTTTGGTTTCTAATTTCATATATAATTTTGTTTTCGAGTCATACTTTTCCCTAATAGTTTAGGTTACTCTTAACCCTTAGCTCATGAACCTTGGAGTCATCTATAACACTCTGGTGCTACTTATTCACACATTACATGAGTAAAAGGGATTTTTATTCCATTTATTCATTCTCAATGAGTCTCCCCATCGCCAAAAGACTGCTATATAGAAAAGGGGGGGGGACTTCTCAAAATTAAGAGGCTAGTTTCATAGTCACTTTGCTCATACTCTGCAAAGGAATAGAAAAACTAAAATCAAAGTCATATCAGTAATGCGATCCAAAGAATTGTCATCGTTCTATTCCAAATCAGGGCAACACAGAATATACAGGGAAAAAAAGAGCTCTGATTTTAGTTTTTTGATCACTAGCGACCCATGCAGTCAACGTAGATATCTTATGATTCCTATTTCAGAGGCGATACAAAGGAATAGCCTGACACTGACCGTAGTGACACCGAAGGTTCTAACCCTTTTGGGATTTACATCAGGAACTATTCTATATCTCTACAAAAACAAAATAGCTCTTAAGGATGCCTTTGAGACTTCAGAGAAGAAATAAATCTATTTTAAACCTTTATATATTTCCATGTATAACATCAAAAAGGGTATCATAGGATAGTACATCCTAGGGTAACAAATAAAATTGTAGAGTTTGTAATTCAAGCCATAAGGCTCAATACATATAGGAAAAAATTTAGAACACCAATTAATATGGGTAAGAAATTTCGTACTTATATATCTTTCTTGCTAACTGTGAAGAATCGCAGGTATTCTGAGACATGAAAGCTGGAAATTAACTCTTCTTTTATTTGATCCGGTATTGGGCCGTGGAAAAATCTCACCCCATATGTTACTGTAAGTGTCCTCTGTCGTGTTCACCTTGCTTTCCTACGGGTTCATTTGTTCTGTGTTAACATTGCTTTAGGTACTCTTAGTTGTTAGGTTATTTTTGTTCCTTTTGGTTATATGGGCCTACTTCTCCCTTGCATGCTTCCTTTCAGCTTCATGTTTGTGTGTGTTGATACTGTTAAAGCAGTTATATGGTTCTACCCTATATATTTATTTTTCCTCTGAAATGGAGAATTTTGCTCAATGTCGCAGTACCTTCAATGCATAAACTTCATTCTGGGCATTTCTTCTACTTCATTTTTCTCTTCTCCCTTTCCTAATATGATAAGTGGTTCGTATGTTATGGATATTCGTATCCTCTTTTCAAAGATATTCTTGTAGCATTAATGTTATCAACACCAATGATATTCCAGCAAGGACAGTACTGTTCATGTAATACTAATTTTAGGCTACCGCCTTTCCTCAAATAATGCTATTGCATATACATCACAGGAATTTGTAAAACTCTTATGTCCTCATATTACAGCCGGGACTTTAACTCCTTCAAGAATAAGGTACCGCAAATGAGAAGACATCAGTGTAATATGAACAATGGTTCTATTCAAATAACGAAGCGTTCAATGTTCTATCCACCGCATAGTAATATTCGGGGCACCTACCTTTAGCTCAATAGATACTACTGCTCGTATATTCTTACGGTTAATAGACTAGTGCTCCTTATATAAGAGCACTTTGCGTATATCGAAACCCTTCAAATAATCTTCCTTTGGAATCATGCATTATCATTGCACAACCGTCCTTTGCGAATAAGAATACTACAGACAGGTAAGAGGGGTCATATAATATAGCTCCAGATGATCCATTATTCTTATCCGACTAGGCTCCTCAAACAACAAGACTTTGCAGATATCACTATAGTTCATCCATTAGTACATTCATATAACAGTACTACGGAAACTTCCAGAATCTTCTTCATTGAGAATGCATACACATCAACACACTTCAGACAATAATTTTCCTGGGATATCCATGCACTTCACAGAATAATGCTCCACTAATAATACCACTCCTGGAATGTCAATATTGAACAAACAAAAGTAGTCTTAACATTATAGTACTCTTGGTGTAGCAATATTCTTCAAAGAATAGTATCCTAAGCAATTCACAGGATCTGCATAATCCTCTGCCTCATATAATGGAGCCGTTATCCTTATATCGCAACACTTCACATGATGCTACTCCAGGGATTTTCCTACTCATTATCGTACATCATTTCATACATAGCAGTACTGCTCTTCAAATAAAAGTATTATTCTCAAAAAAGTACTCTCAATGTAACAATACTCCTTGCACACTCCAACTGTTCGAATAAGAGTGCTCCCAGGAGAATGATACTCATCCAGCCACAACACTTAGCACTTAGTGATACTTTTAGTATAATAGCACTTGGACTCATCCATATAGCTCAACCATAAGTACTTTCATATAACGGTAGTATGGGAACATCTGCACTCTTGACCATCGAAAATCTTGACACATCAATAATGTTCACGCAATATTTTTCGTGGAATATCCATGTAATTCATAGAATAATGTTTCTGATATAATGAAAGCGTAAACTTTGAATCCTTCGCATAAAATACTACATGGACATCAATACCCTTCCTATGACAGTATTATACGTACATACCGGCACTGCAACTCCCTTAGAAATGCAACTGACTATTCTCCAAACAGGAGTTCCCCAAGCGGAGTTGTCCTGTTCATGTAACAAAACGATAAGCATCTCAGTACCCTGACCAAATGAGTACTACGAACACGTCAGTAGACTTGATACAATAGCACTCCAGGAAATCTTTAACCTTGGCGCAACTCAGCTCTTCAATTAACAATGTTATCCGCGTGACACTGCTATTAACTTAATAGTACTCCATGAACCTCATCACTTCTAAAGCAATAATACACCAGGGATAAAGGTACCCTTTCACAAATGGGTATATTATTCCTGTTTCGTAATGGTACAACATCGGTATGGTTATGAAATTTACATTTCAAATATGTGAGCATCCTCATAAAGAGTTCACAGAAGGAAATATGCTCATAACGATTCCAAATAGGGAAATAAAAAAATACGTCAATCATCATATTCGGGAAGAAGAATCCTAATGAAAAACAACCACGTACAATACAACATATCAACATGGATGTAGTAACAAGGACACTTTCACAAGGAGGCAGCTGAAGAATCCGTTCATAATGATGCTACAGGAAGAGACATTTTCACAATAATCGAGGCAAAAGAATATCTTCAAAATGATACGGCGAAGGAACTTCCTGAAGATACAAGGAAAAGGAAGGATCTTCATAAAGGAGATAAAAAGCAAGACGGCCTCTGAACCCTGCCGCAGAAGAGGAGCATATTCATAGGGAAAATCACACACGAAAGCACGCCTTAAGAGTAGCACAAAGAGCAAGAATCATCCTAGAGAAAATAACACACACAAACACATCTTGACGATGCCACAGGAAGAAAGAAATAATAAAGTAAGTCGGAGGGGAACAGACACCACCTGGAGAAGCAGACTGGGGAATGATGCTTATGAGGGGCTGCTTAGAGTCCAAACTGTAAATCCGGAGCGAACAGCATTAAATGGTTAACCGTAAAGAATAGACTTTAGAGGCTGAGAACACAACCAGAAACAGAGAGGATAAGCCTTTAACCATAAGGCTTTCACAATAAATCATACAACACAAAAACTCGAAGTTGAAAACCAATTAATACAGCACCTATCAAAAAAATAAGAAGTAAAGAAGAAGCAATACTCGATGGCGCCCCAAATTCATACCTGTAGAAACTAAACATGATGCCTAACGCAGAAACCTTCGGGGAGATCCCCTGAAGAATAATATGACCAAATACACCAAAGGACCTTGGAGCATGAACCATAGCACATACCCTTGAACAAAGGACAGTAAACAAACAGTATAGGCCGTAAAGCTAGGGCATGCAAAAACGAACCTACACTTCATCAGAAACAGATAGACACTAAGGGTCTCCGATCAGTCCTACACAGTAAAACTGAATCCGCAACCATGGAATCTGAACCGTACATCGTCTAAGTACGGCACAAAATCCTAAGCCTAACGAGATAAAAAGTAACAGCAGACAGCAGAAATAAGGGGGCCTATGTAAGGAATTAGCCGCAGGACTAAACACTAAAGAGTGCCAATACTCCCTAAGGCTTAGGCCTCACTGATAAACCGTGGAGGCTGAGCCATGAAATATACAGACTAGGGCCCAAAACATACAGCCCGATCACTACACCATAAATCCTAAAAACGTAAGGATGTTCACAGTACAGAAGGCGCATAATCAGTGAATCTTACCCGCCTAAGATAACTTATCGGACAGTACTAATAGAAGCTAAGGGATAAAAACAACCCCCCGGCCATACACAGGAACCTTGAGGCGTAAAAATAGGCGATAAAGCCTAGCCACTACAGTCAAGAGTGGAACGAGGGGGATAAAAAGTAAAGCATTAATCATGAACATTAAAGAATACACAGTGAACAATAAAACTTGACAAAAGAACAAACAACCATAAACCCACAGCGCAATGCCATGAGTAAAACCCGGATGAGAGAGGTGCATACACCCTGCAACCTAACTGCCTACACTAGGAGCCTAAACTCCAAGGAGTACAAGTGAGACCTATAGGAAGAAATGTACACTTTAACAGAACTCCATAAGGTGGGAGGCCTCAGAATTACAGGAACCTAAGCAGAACAGGAGGGTGACAGATGGAGAGCAAGCCTAAGCAATAATGGGAGCAACATAGAGCCTGAAGCAGGAAGGCAACAGCACAGCTTAAGCAATACGCCATAGAGACCATATAATAGGGGGAAGGAGCATGGACTGACAACATACTTCTGCAATGTACACTTCCAATCTCTACGCCTAAGCATTACATGTGCAACACAGTGCATGAAACATCAGGCTTACTTCATCATCAATAAGCCATAAGCCATACCTGAAGCCCCATAGAAATCGAAGCCTAGGAATTAACACAGGAAGAAGAAGGCTGAAACAGCAAATCCTGGATCAAAAATCGAAAACTTAATCATTCGGAGCTAAAAAATACAGCCTAAAAAATGATACCTAAGAAGATAGCAGTACCTGCAGCGACAATAACCAGGAAATACCCGAACCGAACAATGGGCAGTCACCTCCTAAACAATAAACTATGAACTTAAAGAAATAGACTTGCACGCTGTACATGAAGGCTAAATGTGCACCTTACGCGTCGAAGCGAAAGGCAAAGCACTAAAACATTGGCTCTTAGTGGAGAGACAAAGCCTCGAAATTATAACCCTTAGACCGAAGAACGTGAACACGCCTATTCAGGAAAATATAACTTGAGCATAACAAGTAGAAGAGGAGAAACGGACCCACCATGGCAGCCAGTAGAAAAAAAGCAACAATCGGGGAGCAATAAACAATAAGGAAGGAATCTGAAGCATGAGACTAGGACTAGTCCCTAACAGCAAAGAATAAACTGAGAAGCTATGAGCATAAGCCATACAAACTACAAATGACAACGCCCGATAAACTTGAGTCCCCTACATTACAAAGTATAAGTGAACACTTACAACCAAGAAACCAAAGGCCGAAACCCTCAACATCCATGATTGGAGAACAGGTCTAAATCAGGGAGGCCAAATTCCTAACGCTAGGTCCTAGAGTATGAAATCCAAGCCTAAACCCTAAGGACTGAAGGCAACACCGAACCAACCGAACACGAGGGAAATCATGAATCCTCAGCGTCCAACCGAAAAATCTAACAGGAGCATATCGTCCATAAGGGAAAAGATACAAGGGGATAGATGATAGAATCCAGAAACTAGAACCCCAAAGGTGAACCCCGGGGGGTTAAAATAGGGAGGATCTACTGAAGCCAGAATCCGAGAGCATGACATAGATATAGACCTCTGATATAAGACATAACCAATAGGGGTTGACAATACACTCAGGTGATAATGCTGAAACCTAAGAGCTAGGCCATATAGAAGTACAACCTAAACAAGACATAGTCGGACCTATCCCCTCAACTTCGAAAGATAAGCCCAAAATATTAGACGGGACCCCCAGCCCCCTGACCACTGAAGCAGGTACCCTAAACACAGAACGACTAAGAATAAGAATATACAAATTCAAGCCTGAGGGGCTGAACAATTAACCCTTAGCCTACACCTTAAGAGATGGCAACTAAGCCGCAACAAGGAGGACACCCCCTACCGACGCGCCTCACTCACAGGAACATAAACAAGGGAGGATAGGGCCTACATCCCAAACTAGAGAAAGCGGCTACTAAAAATATGAAATGATTCAACAAATCTGAGGTGGAGTCGTAGTCCGTAAACCCTGAGAATTCAAGAAGAAACCTTGGATATCTTGGCAGTGAGATGTAGGAGATTCTAAGAAACAACAGGATAAAGGAGAAAATGGAATCAGGCTAGATGAGGACGAACCAAAAATACCAGAGTCTAAGGATGAACACCTCAAGGAGATACATGAAAACTCCAGCACACAGCTCAAAACATAAGGAGAGCGTAATCGTAGAAGTGAGAATAGGAGTCCTTCATCTGAAGCAAGAAGAATCCCAATTCCAAAACTGAAAGCAGAGGGGTAAAATTAAAAGATAACACCTGAACAAGCCACAAATCCCGAAACAGTAAACAGTGGACGAAACCCGAAAACCCCGGACGTAACAGCCTGGAGTCCAAAAGATAACACCCTACATCCTAAACCCTAAAATGTATTCCCTCAGTAGTAAAAGGACCCCTAAACCCAGAAATATGAACCATAGGGTTAAGCCTAAGTCCCTAGTAATAGAATAGTAAACCCTAAACCCCTAAAAAGTAAAACATGGAAGCTAAATCTGAAACAGAGAAATCCTAGAGCCTAAGACAAAATCTCTGAAGCCGAAGATACAAAAACATCAAGCCCAAAGGGTCCAACCTGGGCGCGAAACCCTGGATGCATGGGTCCGGAGATGTTGCACCTAGACCATAACGACTAAGTACTAACTCGTAAGCCCTGGCTCATAAGATCCCAGAAACTGTCCAAAAGAAATCACAACTAAACAATAAAACCTAAATCCTCAACATGGGACAATGGAAAAAAAGCCCTGAAACCACAACCCTGAGAGCCAACCCCAAAACCTTGGAAGTAAATCGGAGATGTCAGGCCAAAATCATACAACCAGAATCCTAAGGCATAAACCCAGGATATAAAAAAGGAACCATAAAGACTGTATATACCAACCTAAACGTTCGGCATTAAGCCATGAGACCGAAGCCCTAATGAATAAGAGATAAAGCAACAGCCAATCCCCAAAACTACCCTCTAAGAACAAAAAGAAACTCCTAACACCTGCAAACTGAATCCTAGGAACATAGTTCTAAATGGTACAGCCTAGAACGTAAACACCAAACCCTAAACCATGAGATCATAGGAACAAAACCCGCAACGCTCAATCTGAAATACTACAATCTGAAACCTAAATCCTGAAACATGAACGTTGAACCTGGAGCGGTAAAGGCCAAACCTAAATCAAAAACTCAACGACTCGATTCTAAAGCCCTGTGCCTTAAAACATGAACGCTAAACCACTGGATCATAGAACCGAACCGGTAGATAGGAAACCCTAAACTTTGATCCCTAAAAACTAAACAATAAGATCAAAACCCTAAACCCAAGAGGCATACAACTTCAACCGTAAAACGTACACCCAAAAAAAAGCCCCCCTTAACCCTAAATCCTAAAAACTAACCCGTAAACGCTAGAGGCTATACGATAAAACGTAGATGATCGGCAGAAGCTTCTAGAGGTAAAAACTAAGCCTAAATCATAAGGATAGGGAGGAAACCCTAAATCCTGAAGGAAGAACAGTAAATGTAATGCATCAACGAAACAGCGAGAGCTGAGGAAACTAAGAATTAAAACCTAAGAAATAAACGTAAGGCATAGATGCTAATGTCTAAACCCTAATCTCTGAATCCTAAAACTTCAGGCCAACACGTTAAGAGCAGAACACTAGGCGCTAGCCCCTAAATCCGAAACCCTAAAGCCTGAACCCTAAACGTCTACCCCATAAAAACTATACACTGGAAACTAACCCATAAGCCCTCAACCCAAAAACATGAAAAGTGGGCCCTAGCTTCTGACAGATAAACAATCAGACATAATCCCTATGGACTGAAGCCGGAACATACACCCCTCACCGATAAACACTACCCCCTAGAGGATAAGACGTAAGAACTACGTTAAGAATCCGAGATGTAGTAGAACAGCCCTGGGAAGTAACCTCTAAGGACTAGAAACTAGAACCTGAAAGGTAAACGCAAACCCCAAAAGAGGAGCTTAAGCCAAACAAGTATAAATCGGAATTCCAGAACCCTAGAGGCAGAAACCTGAGCCTTGAAATTTGAACCAGCAACGAGGCCCGTGAAGTTGAGAGTAAATGTAAATGACTAAAAAATCGGATATAAAGAATGAACGAGGCCCACTAAACCCTATAAGATAATTCCTAAAGAGTGAAGCATAACCATTAACGCCTAAAAACGAACAGCTGAGGACAAAATCCTAGAACTAATCCCTGATTCCTGAAAACTAGGGCCTAAACTCAGAACCCTAAACCGTGATGAATAAACCTGGAAAACTGAAGCCTAAACCAGAAATCTAAACCCTGGACCTCATAAATCCTAAACCTAAAGCATAAACACTAAATCTGAACCCTGAAAAGTAGACCGAAACCCTGAAGCATAAACGTGAACCCTAAACCGTAAACCCTAAACCCTGAACCCTGAACCTTAAAAACTGAGCCCAGACCCTAACTATAAATCCCCCTTCCCTAATTCCCCCAAGCTCCAACAAGGAAAAGGAAAATAGTCCACACCCTCTGAAGCTCCCGGCTCCTCAGGCCCTCTTCCCTGCCTGCTCCGGTCCCTCCTGGGAGACGCCCCGGAGAACTCCTCCGCCCCCCTCCTCAGCTCTAGAGTTCTCTGATTATACGACTACGGCTTGGGAGTATAGGACACTGAGCCCATTGCCCTCTGATACTTCGAACCCCTCCTAGCCACTCGACCTCCCCGCGTCATTATCCTTGTCATCCCATAAACACCTAAGCTACCTAGAGCAACAGCCACTGCTCCCCCGCCAATCATTCCTCCCCAAGAAACCCCGGCTGATACTGTGAAGGGTCCACTTCCCGATGAATCGTCCGTCTCAGCTTCACTGCCCTTTGCGATGTTAGATTCCTGTATATACTCCTGCAGCGTGCTGCTCAGACTATCCTCCGTCGTGACGTCCTCGCTGGGGAGATGTTGGACTATCTCTGTTATGCTATCCTGGGTTTTCTCTGTTATGAACTTCTTCTCAATTGACTGGATTCCTACCCCCTTGATTCCTTCGCACTTACACTTCAGATCCTTTATGCCTGCATCATCACCGATTAAATCTTCACTTATTACTTCAAAGAGATCTGTCCCGGCCACCTGTAAAGTATTCATCGGCTTCCCTTCTGAATCTTCGGTACTGAACCAATTCTTTAGGATCTCCTCCGCAAACTTCTCATCTACCCACTCTGTTAGAGCCTTATAGACATTGCCGCATATATTGTGCTCTTGCTTCAGATTTACTTTGGTTGTTCTGCCCACTTGGGTTATTTTTAACCCTTTATAGATTTCCCGCACTATCTGCATACATAGTTGTAAATTCTTCTCGTAACTCTGGCTCATGCTTAATGAACTTCTTTGGACGAAATTCCGCCAATGTGATAATTGTACATCAACCTTACATCTGCTTCCTGATCGCCCACTGACTACTTCTTCCTTAAAGTCCTTATATTTGCAATTCCCCCCCAATATTTCGCCTCGAGCCGCTGAGGTTAATTCTAACGCTGTTAACCATAATTCCAAATAAACGCAAATACTCCGACTTCTCCCATAAAGGAAATTCCTTAAGCTTGACGACCAACCCTCATCCTTTGCTGAGAATATATCCTCTGAAACTGATATGGGCCTGTCTAGATAATTTGTCAGCTTACAAATCCCTTCGTTAAGATTTGGTTCCTTGTTACAGTGTTTTCTCTTCTCGGCATCGGCCCTTAAAGAGTTCATAAAGTTGCCTAAAATTGAACCCCCCATGCTTCTGGAGGATCTTTTTCTCTTGTATTTCCTCCTAGGCAATTCATTACTCGCTCCTACGCGCTAGTGACATACTCGGCCTCCTAATTTCCGCTCTTGGGGATGGGGGAACTCTACTTCCTTCACTCTTATTACTGCGCTCACTCGTTACCTTCCTGCTCCTGCGGGTTAGAGAACTTTCACTCCTTATCTGATGTCTCACTCTTGCATCCAGAGCTCTTCATTTCTGAGAATTACTTCTTCTCCCTGTGTCAGAATCTACAGTTTCCTCCCCCTGGAGGCACCGTGCCTGGGACCGCCCCTACGACTTCTATCCTGCCTTGTTTACTTCCTTGCCTATTCTTTTCTTCCCGGCACCTAATTATTTCAGATATGTTCACGTATCACGGGGGTGGAAAAATTCTCATTTAGTCCATTTGGTTCTTTATTCGTGAAAGCCGGAGACTTCTGGTCCTTGGAACTTCCCGTTTGTCTTCTTCTTCCTTCTGGAGGTCCTATGATTTCTTAGCTTAGAAGATCCCTGCTGGGCTATATCCTGTCCTACATCCCCTTCTTATTGGAGAGCAATGTGCCGGACCATCCCTGTTACGGGCTCCGCGTTTACTACTGCACTATACTCGAGAACTCCTTAGATTAACTGTTTGCTGCTCAGGTGGGTTATTTGGCTGCGTTATGGAATCTCTTATTGTGTTCTATCAAACGCCTGGATCTATTTTCGGGATTGGTTGACTTTCTCAGATCTCCTGAGACGTGTCCTTAACTGCCTCTTCTTTCATTTTTATGCTCTATTTAACCCTCCTCTATTAGCAGATGTCCTAAGCTACCCTCCTTTCTCCCTCCCTTTTCTCTATTAACTTGTTTCTCAGGCTCAAGTCAAGACGTAGGGCACTACATTCATAGATTCACTTCTTCTCCCTAACTTCTCTAACGTCAAGTTCATTTCTCATCCAACCTGGGATGCATACTATGATCTTCTATAGGCTCCGGGGTTGTTTGGGTCTTTAAAATAAAACTCGTCCGGTCCTTTATTGAGGAATCTTCCCTTGTTCTCCTCCTGAGACAAGACAAGACATTCGGATTTCTTTGGGCTTAACTCCTCCTTAGAAGAGGTGGGACCCTCCTCCTGGGTGAATTACGGGGGAAACCCTATTTCTGATTCCTGAGAGGCAGTTCCTCCTCTGCTCAAACCCCAATTATCCCACCCCTTATTGAGAATTTTAATTCATTAATGCCCTTCTCAGTCCGTATGAAGTCATTTGTTTTTATCTCGAGATGAGGAATTGAGGTCCTGCTCCTGCCTTGTAGATTCTAATTGTAGAACTTATTCCTCCTGCTTATAAGTCTTAACCTTTTGTATTTTATATTTTTCTGGGGGGAGGAGACTACTGTTAAGTAGTCATCTCTTAATTTCCCTGCTTCTTTGGACTTGATTCTCCTTCCTCCCTCTTCTCAGTTAGATAGTCCCGCATCTACGACCCGAGGACTCTTGCCACTCATCCTCTTCGTTTCGCCTAACTCTTATTTGTTGATATTTTATGTTGCTCGATTGGTGAATCCCCCGTCTTCCTGTAATTAATCCTTCCCTCAGTGCCGTATTATTTTTCTATTCTGCTTCTATTCCAATCGGACTTTTAGACGCCAGAATCTCCCTTTTGACTATTAGTAGACTGGTTGGGGGAAGAGCTCACTCCCGCTTACGTTCAGATTCATGTTCTTTGCATGATGAGAATTGGACTCGTGATTTTGCTTCCTCGTTGTTTCTCCTCTTAGGATATAGCTCCCTCTAGCTCTTGTGCCTTTAGCTCTATTTTGCCTGTTCTTGTAACCAGATGCTTCTTACTTGTACCTTTAGCTCTTCCTTCTTACATTTCCGGAACCGGTCCCGTGAGACTCCTTAAACTCCTCAGCTGTTCACTTTTATATCTCTAATCGTCTTGGGAGATTACGAATCCATAAATTGCACACGGAACCTGGCTCTGGTTCTACCTTTGGCTTCTGTCCTGACCTTCATTCTCATCTTGGTTTCATACGAAATGCTTATTCAGATGTTGTTATTTAATATAATATATTACGATAATTGGAGAAATTCAAGGCTCTATTCTTCATATGGGGGCCG